AAATATTTTGAACTTATAAAATGATTTAGAAATTGATTCTGAAATTTGTTTAGAATTGTTTCTATTTTTGATTAGAAATTTAATTTGAGAAGTTTATTTGAAATATTTGTTTCATAATTTTTGTTTTAATACTTCCTTTAATTCAAAAATTCTCAAAAAAATCATATAAGTTTGTTTTCAACCATAGAATATGAATCTAATTTTATTTTTACCTTTTCATGATTTTGGCTAGGGTTTTCTTTTTTGCTTTCAAATAACAGTCTAATTGTTAATTGTTTGTTTTATTTTTATTTAAATATTCCATTTAATTCAAAAATTCCACAAAAAATCAGGGATGTGTGTTTTTAATTCTAATATTTGAATTTAATTTTGGTTGGATATGTTTCTGATTTTTTATTAGAGTTTTATTTTGAGATGTGAAAATTTGTTTAATTGATTAATTGTTTGAATTTGATTTTTATTTTTGACTTTTCCTTAATTCAAAAAATGTGAAAAAATATATATTCTGACATTTAGGGTTTCCTTGTGATTTTCATGATCTTGGTTTGAATTGTTTAAATTTTGATCTTACCTAATTAATATTTAAGATTAAAAGTCAAAAATTAGGGTTTCGTTGCTTATTGTACAAGTTTCATTTTCAAAACCATTATGCCCTGGATTTAAAATGAAACTTAGGTCTTGATTATGGTTCATGAATGTATTGAGGATCTGAAAACCATTTTTCTTGAATTATTTGACTTGGTTTGATATTTTTCCACAAATTATTTTGAAAGTTTGTCTAGTTTGGTAGTTTGGCCAACTAGTTTTGAACTTTGGGTCTCATTTGATCCCCTCCTCAACCATCCATGAACTTAAGACTTACTTTCTGACTTCTACACACTTCAAAGATGCTAAGAATTTTTTGGTTTGAATTATTGATCCTTGTTTCTATTTTTGATGTATTTTTGAAGTAAATGTACCCAATTAATGTTGCATATCTTGTTGCAATTTGTTTGATGGCCAATGAACTTGAGTGAGGCCTATAATTGGGAACCTAATGATCATGTTGGTTCTGTTTATCCATATTAACTCAAGAAATTTCACTTAATGCCCTATGTTTGAATGATTGAATCTTTTGATGTATTGTGTGGGATTCCTCTTCTAGTATGCTTGTGAGTTGTGATGAAATAATTGAGTATGATTGAATTGTGTTTGCTACTGACCTTTGTGGTCTTTAATTGTATTCTTCTCAATCTCCCATTCTCCTTGATTGATATTCAATTGTCAACTCAACATGGTGATAGAAAGGAGCAACATTCCTCTGATTCTTTTGACCAAATTGTGCATATGTTGTTTCCTTTTGTCTATCATGACTAATGTTTGATAGTTGCTACCATGTTTTCTCATTTCATCATGGTGGCATCATCCATCCCTTATGTGAATCATCATTCTATTTATGGGAATACTAACTTGGCTGTTGAATGTGCGAGGTACTTTGAGGAAAGTTTCCATTTTTGGCTTGAGGCTATTGTGTTTCACTTTATTTGTGAAACACAACTTATTATATTGGCACTGCTATTGTGTTTGGCATATTTGATAGTCAATGCAGGATATATATATATATATATATATATATATATATATATATATATATATATATATATATATATATATATATATATATATATATATATATATATATATATATATATATATATATATATATATATATATATATATATATATATATATATATATATATATATATATATATATATATATATATATATATATATATATATATATCTGTGTGTGACTATGAATGCTATACATTGCCCATGGGATCTGTTCATATCTGATAATCTCAATACTTACATCCTGATGGCGTAATTTCTGACTTGATTTGTCTGTTGATGTCAGCTTACTTGAAGTTCTCTGGGTTTCTTTTATTCTTTCTCAGTTGCTACGGATAGTTACCCGTTTGGTATTGCACTATTTCCTTTCTTCTATTTTCATAGTTCTATGTTGCATGATGGGACCTCTGTTGCTGATATATGTCAGGAGGCCCTCTATTTTTGTTTGATACATGTGTTGTGTTTGTTTCTTCAATTATTGATCGATGAGTCACTCAATTTTTAGAAATTAAGATCACGACTTCGCTCTCATTGCATGTTCCCTATAGGATGTTTATTGTTTTTTTTTCTTCTTCACTTGTTGATCGATGAGTCACTTAATTTAGAATTGAGATCACGACTTCGCTCTCAGTGCATGTTCCCTATAGGATGTTTATTGTTTTTTTCTTCTTTAATTGTTGATCGATGAGTCACTCAATTTAGAAATTGAGATCACGACTTCGCTCTCATTGCATGTTCCCTATAGGATAGTTTTGTTAAGCTTCCTTTGAAATGTTAATTAAGGTAGGAATCCATGTATGCTAACATAAGATAGGAATTTCCTTTATCCTCAACCTTAGGGTCAACCATTGTATGGTAACACTAGGGATAATGCTAGGCTAGTTTCCCTTAGTTGTTTTTTCCTTCCTTTGCATTTCGCATCTTAAAACCAAAATTGTTTTCTTGGCAAATCATAAAACACCTTTAATAAACTCAAACCCTTCTTCAAAGTAAAAGATACAAACCAATCCTATTTGTTTATGCGCCTCTTGGCTTTGTTTTTAAACCTGAAGCCGATGTTTTGCCATCACACATTTATTTGAAGCCGATGTTTCGCCATCGCACATGTTTGTTATCCTACTTTAATTCTCAATATCATTGTTAGGTGTGATATTTTGTCATCCGTTTTATCGATGTTTCGCCATCGCATATGTTTGTTATCCTACTTTGATTCTCAAATATCATTGTTAGGTGTGATGTCTTGTCATCCGATTTATTGATGTTTCGCCATCTTTCCCATGATACCTTGTTATCTTATAGTCGATGTTTCGCCATCGCACATTTGTTTGAAGCCGATGTTTCGCCATCGCATATGTTTTTTATCCTACTTTGATTCTCAATATTATTGTTAGGTGTGATGTCTTATCATTTGATGTTTCGCCATCTTTGCCGTAATGCCTTGTTATCTTCTAGCCGATGTTTCGCCATTGCACATTTGTTTGAAGCCGATGTTTCACCATCGCATATGTTTGTTATCCTACTTTGATTCTCAATATCATTGTTAGGTGTGATGTTTTGTCATCTATTTTATTGGTGATTTGCTATCTTCTGACATGTTACTTTGCTATTATTTAGCCGAGGTTTTGCTATCTCATTTGTTTGTTATTTTATTTGATGTTTTGCCATCTTGACTGTTTTTGTTGTCTTAACTAAAAAACACAAACCAACCAAAATATATAAGTCGGACTACGGCTGCTCTGATTCCTTAAAAGGGATACGTAGGCAAAGGGGTAGGGCCCAACCAAGCACATCTTTTATTTTCCCAACATTGTTTTCTTTTGTTTCTTTCGCATGCATTCCCTTTTTATCTTTAAGCCATAGACATAGGATTTGACCACACCCATTAGATTAGACAACAAGAGCGGATACCGTAGAGTACTACGGGCGTGTGGGATGCTAATACCTTCCCCTCGCGTAACAGACTCCCTTACCCGATCTCTCGGTCGAAAGACCGTGATTTCTCCCTTTCCAGGTTTTCTCAATGTCTACCTTTCCCTTTCGGCGGGATAAAAGACGTTCGGTGGCGACTTTATTGATGTTTCATTACATCCAGATGACAGGTCGGGTTGTTTCAGTAGGGTCTTGAGAACATATTAAGACCATGGAGAGCATATGAGACCTTTGTGGTCCACCCATCTTGATGAAAATAGAAACCCTAATTTGGGGTATACTGTCTTAGGAGAGAGTTTGTCTGGTCAACTCTTGGGCAATCTTGAGCAAATTGGGGACCTCACTTAACATTTATTGAGTAAAATGAAAGGGGAAATTTTGGAGTACAACAGGTAAAAATGGCAATGTAGTGTGAACTAAGCAGATGCCGTCAATATTATAGTATGTCTTCCCAGATATCAGATTGTTCAGATGATTGTTCAATATTGAGCGTCTAGAACTGAAATAATATATTCAAAAGCCAAATGGGATAGTAAAAGGATTGATTGGTTCTTGGGTTGGCTTTCTACCTTTCTCTTGGAAGAAAATAAGACTCCTCGCATTGGAAGGTCACTTATTTTAAGCAGTAACTCTTCCATACGATTGGAAGCAATGTTAATCTTTCAATCTTTCATATATGAAAAACAAAAACAAACAAAAAATCAAAACAAACTTGTGCAAATATGATTTCTCATTGTTAAGATGCTGGTTTTTTCTTCTTCTTGTTCCTATGGCCCTTAGTAAAAAAAGTTTCTTGCTAGAAATATGAGATGTAGCTATTCTTAACAACAACTTATATATATTCACACAATGCTAAAGAAGGTTGAATTAACTAGAAATAAAGCATAAGTTACTCTAAAACCCCCCATTCAAATTGACTATGGTTGTCTTCTACTTATCATCTGAGATTTCTCTCTTGTTGTGGAATGCTGCAAAGATAGGATTCACAATAAGCCAAATTCTAGTCAAAGTAATTTGGACATACAGCTTTTACAGTAGCAATACTTTATTGATTGTGTTCTAAATAAAAAAAAATAGTTGCATTGTTGTTCTCAAATTCGTTTAACTTAAGTGATAGTAATTGTATTGGTACGCACTCTTAGATTCAGTGCCAAACTCCTTACTAGTTGTGATTCTTTCTCTAGCACGCCTTTCCCAAGAAGGACTTTTCTTTTTATTCGCTCTCTATACCTAACTATAGAATTAACAAAATGAAAAATAAAGATGGAAATTTAATACGATAACAGCCTCAAAGCTCTGAGAATCTCTTAATGTTTTCTTTCTTTCCATCATGAAATCATTGATTCATCCCAGTTTTCTACAAGATTGGGGTCCCATGCCTTTTGTTTCAACAACTTCTAATTCCTATTTTTTAGATCGTGGGTTTCCTTCTTGTACCTGGGCTTGAGCTGTCTTGGATTATACATGTGTCTCAGTCGATTTGTTCAATCGTTCCTTATCACCATTCAAGGTTAAGCTATCAAACTCCGACTTCATAATCTTGGAAATCCGTGTATCCACATCCTGAGGTTCGGGAAATACCATATGAAATGATCCTTGTTTGATAGGTGTAACATCTTCACAGAGTTTGGCCTGCTGTTTGACGTAGTTGTGGAGTTGTTGGTGGAAGGAATGATCCAGAGAATATACATTTCCACTTCCACCTTCTAAATTTTTGGATGATCCAAAGCCTTCTGTTCTACAAAAATGAGACAGAGATGGGTAATACATGATCTACACCAAATTTAATTTGTTAAATTCAATTAGATAATATAAAAATAGACATTAAATATCAAAGAGTAGGTCTTCCATGTTGTAAGAGTCTAATATAACTATCGCCCGTGTGCATTCTAAAAGGGTATTTCTAACATTAACAAGTTAAAGAAGCAGTTTAGAGAGTCATTTGTCATGAAAGACATGTGAGAAGCTAAATAGATTATTGGCATTAGAATCATGCATGACAGAAAAGAGAAAAAACTTTGGATGTCATAAGAACATTATATCAAAAGAGTGTTGCAAAGATTCAAAATGGAAAGTTCTAAGGCAGTAAGAACTCCTCTTGCTACTCATATCAAGTTGAGTTCTGATCAAAGTCCTTCAAGTGAATATGAAATGTTTGATATGAAAGATGTTCCTAATGTGTCTGTTATAGGTAGTTTGATGTATGTAATGGTGTGTGCAATACCATATATAGCACTTATTGTTGGTACAGTCAGTATATTTTTGTTAAATCCAGGTAGAGAGCATTGGAATGTTATAAAATAGATTTTAAGGTATATTCGTGGTACTACTTATGCGAGACTTTATTTTGGAGAAGATAAGCCTACTTTAGTAGGGTACTATGACTCCGATATGGATGAAGACATAATTAAATTTGCAGAGGGGTTGTGACTTTGTAGTACAAGTTGCAAAAGTGTGTAGCATTGTCTACTACAGAGGATGAGTTCTTTGGCATTATCGAAGCATACAAAGAGTTACTGTGGTTTAAGAAATTTTTATAGGAGCTTGGTTTTTTCAAGACAAATATGTGTTATTTGTTGATAGTCAAAGCTCTATTCATCATGGTAAAAATTTTACTTTTCATAATAGGTCCAATAACATTGATGTGAGATATCATTGAATACATGATGTTTTTATTCCATGTTGTTGGAGTTAGCTAAAGTTCATACATATGATAATGGTTTTGATATGATGACTAAAGTATTACCAAGAGGGGAGTTTGAAGCTTGTTATGATATCATCGATTTGGTGATTTCCTCCACGTAGTTGTTAGGGGGAGATTTGTTAGATTATGGCTCCCTTTCTATGTGGAGAAAGGCCCAAATATTATTAGCCTATTTGTCTAACTTATTTAAGTGGATAGGGTCAATTTTGGGTTGAGTGAGATAAAGAGAAAATAAGAATTCAAATGAGAGAAAAGATGAGAGAAATCTATTCTTGTTTTTTCTATAACCAGCCTCACTAAATCAACGATCCCCAATTTGTTAACCGTTAGACCAAGCTCAAATTTGGAGGGAAGGTTCGCAACACTTATATCTATTTTTTACCGTTCATAATTTTAAAACAAGGTATGAGCTGAGAGATATTGGTTCGCACTGAAACTGCAAATTTGTGTAATTTTTTCAGCTTTTTAATTCTTATTTGTAAGTTAGTTTGCATTGTGATTTGTGGTTGTTAGCATTAGCTTATGAATCACTTTAAGACTCTCTCGTATTCTTATTTTATTATAATAGATCTATTTCTTTGGTCTGGAAGACTCGTGGTTTTTACTCTCGTATTGAGGTGTTTTCCACGTTAAAATATCAGTGATCTTTTGTGTCTGTATTTGTTTGATTTCCTGCCATATATTTGTTTTTTCATCTTAATAAATTCTTATAAGTTTGGAGAATTTTATATCTGTTGTGTATTGGTCTGTTATTGTGTGTTAATTTCCCATCATAATTTAAGATATTTTCTGAGTTGTATCTGAATAAGGGTCATGAGCAAGATTACTTAGTTACAAAGGAAATTGATAATGTATTGAAAGTGGATTTTCTTGAACCATTCAAAAATCACAAGTTGTTGAAGTTTTTGAGTTTGAACAAAAAATTCAACCTTGATCAAATCAAAGCATTCTACTGTAATCTTAAGAGTACAAGTGACAAGATTCTTTGTAGGTTTTTTGGAAGAATGATTGCTTAGACACATTTGTTGATTTTCTCAAGGTTCTTGGTTTAAAAGCAAAATGCTTAGTAATAGATTAATAGGATTGGTGTAAAGGATTCAGCGCACATCATTTGTGGAGTCTATCTCCAAATCAATTTTAAAAGACCATCTAGATGTTGTTGGAAATCCATCAAAATTTATGGAGAATTTCTATCAATCTTGATGAACCCGATTGTTATCACTATACAATAACAATGAAAAGAAAAGAAAATTAAAGAAGAAAATAGATAAGGGTTTCTGCAGAGTTTCTATCTGTCCACAAACTGTAGAAAAAATTTATTCACTTGCAACTACAAGTTCTGTGAATACTCAATATGAGTTAGTTACAAAAATAGGGGTTACTCCCTCTATTTATAGTTTTAAGTTAGCTTTCTCCCTGAGCCAAAAATCCCAAAACACAAAAGCCCAAAATATCTATTTTGAATCTCAATTGAATCTGTTTATGGTAACCTGCTTACAACATTTCGACAGTTACATATAACTCGACAAACTATACTTTTCGACACACCTTGTGTCAAGCAACAACTTGCTTCGACACAAGGAATTACACTTTCAACACACTACGTAATTCATTGTGTCTAAGCTATCTATATTCATCATAGTTCTTAGTCTTCTGAACACTTCGACCTGCACACCCTTCGTTAAGATGTATGCAATATAATTCTAAATTATACAGTGTTCCATCTTCATCTTCCCTTATACTACCTACTCTCGAAGAAAACGGAACCTCATTTCGATGTGTTTGCTTCGGCCATGTGTTATCGGGATCTTCGCCAGGTTGATAGCTGACATGCTTTCGATCTTCATGGTAATTGCTCCATGATCTTTCTCTGTCCATGTTGCTTGACATGCACAAAGAGAAGCATTTATGTACTCTGATTTTCACAATGATAATGTTACTATTGGTTCCTTTCTCGAACTTCAAGCAATCGATTCACCACCTAGCATAAACACATATCCTGCTGTGGATTTTTGATCCTCAACATCACTACTCAAACTTGAATCAATGTACCCCACTAACTTGCATTCTTTTCATTTATCAGCTGTAGGACATAAAATGTCGTAGTTGAGAGTTCCTTTGAGATACCTTAGTATTCTCTTCGTTGCTGCTAGATGTTATACCTTTGACTTCTGCGTGAATTTACTTACCATACCTACACTGTATGTTAAGTCAGGCCTTGTGTGACAAAGGTATCTTAATGACCCAATAAGTCTTTTGTATTGGGTTGGGTCGACATCATCTTCATCTGAATATTTTGACAGTTGCAGTATTGGTTCTGCAGGTGTCAAGTCGAGTTGTATTCTTTCATCCCAAATATATTGAGAATCTCACTTAAATATCTTCTTTAAAGCATCATCAAACCTCTACTGCTCTTGTAGAATTCGATGCCAAGAATATATTGAAAGTCACTGAGATCCGACATTTCAAATTCCTGGCTGAGACCATATTTGAAGTCTTCAATCTCCTTCTTGCAGCTAACTGTTATTAACAAGTCATCGACACATAGACATAGTATAAGCAATTAACTATTTCTTCTTCTTACATATACTCCATGTTCATTTGTGCACTTTACAAATTCCTTCTCCTTTAGAAAATATTTATTTTCTTATTTCGAGCTCTTGGAGCTTGTTTTAATCCATACAGGGCTTTATGCAACCTATACACCTTTCTCTCTTCGCCATGTTTCACAAGTCCAACTGGTTGTGCAACATAAACTTCTTCATCTAAGGATCCATTCAGGAATGCACATTTCACGCCCATCTGACATATGTGCCAACTGTTCAGTTATGCTAGACCAACAACCAGGCTGGTTGTTTCGATTCTAGTAACATGTGCAAAAACATAATTTAAGTCTATTCCTTCTTTGTTAAGAAATCCTTTCACAACAAGCCTTGCCTTGTGTTGAGTTACTTCCCCTCTGGGATTCAATTTCACTCTGTATACCCACTTGACATAAATTTCCTTCTTTCTTTGAGGCAATTCGAGAAGTGACCAAGTGTTGTTGACTTCGATGGACTTTAATTCCTCATGAATTGCTTTCACCCACTTCAAATCCTTCAATGCTTCAACTGCATTAACAGGTTCGACATCTGTATAGAAAGCATAATGTACCAGCTCAACTTCATCATCGACTGCATCATCTGATGTAATCACACAATCTTACAGCCTTGCAGGAAAGTGTCTAGTCCTATGAGGTCTTCTTGGGCCTACATCCCCTCTCACTTATACTTGTCGAACTTCTCTTTCAACTTTAGTGGTTGGTTTTTCATAAAAGATTCTCACTGAATCCTTGTTTACATTTTCAGTCAAATCTCATTCTTTAAACTCATCTATGATCATGTCCATGCTAATCACAATCTGCTTGTTCACAGGGTCGAACAACTTGTAACCTCCTGTCGAATGATATCCTACTAGGATCATCTGACTCGACTTGTCATCAAGTTTTCTTCTCAATTGATCTGACACATGTATATGTGCAATAGGTCCAAATACCTTCAGATGACTCAAGCTAGGCTTCACACTAGACCAACATTCTTCTTGCATTATTCTTTCTAACTTCTTCTTCTGACATCTGTTCAATATGTATGTTGCAATCGACACAACTTCATCCTAAAACTCTTTAGGTAAATGTTTGTCTTTCAATATATTTCTCACCATATTTATAATGGTTTGATTCTTCCTTTCTACAGTTCCATTCTACTGTGGAGTATAGGGTGACACCACCTCATTCATAATCCATTTTTTAACATAATTTGTCGAAGTCTTTCGACACATACTCTTCACCATCATCGGTTCTAAAAAATTTGAGCTTTCGACCACTTTGTCTTTCGACCATAGACTTAAACTTGGAAAATACCTTGATCACTTCACTTTTCTTCTTGATCAGATAAGTCCACAGTTTTTAAATGAAATCATCTATGAATGTGACAAAGTATTTATTACCTCCAATCGAATTCACCTGGATTGGTCAATATACATCAGAGTATATGACTTTGACGATTGTCTTCGACTTGCTTCCTGCATCCTTGCTGAAGTTGTTCTTGTGTTGCTTCGCCTTCACACATTCCTCACATACCTTATTTGGAATGTCGATTTCTGGTAATCCTGAAACTATATTTCTTTTCTTCAAATCTCTGATGTCTCTGAAGTTGATATTACCAAGTGGATAATTCCATATCCACTCATGTCAGCTAGTTGTAGTTTCTAGGCACTTGTGCTCCATCACATTAAGTTCAATCTTGAAGATTCTATTCTGAGACATGGGAGTCTTCAAGATTAAACTTCCATTTGCATCGAGGACTCTCATCATCTTGTCTTCGACCAAAACTTTGTAATTCTTTTCGACTAACTATCCTATACTCAGCAAGTAGCTCTTCACGCCTGGTATGTACAACACGTTAGAAAGTATTGACCTTTTTCCATCTTTCCTCATAATCAAAACATCTCCAATACCTTCAGTGGCTAGAGTATTGTCGTATGAAAATTTTACCATGTTCTTCATTGAGGGTTTTAGGTTGACGAATCAATCTTTCCTTTCAGACATGTGTGATGAGCATCTTGAATCCAAGTACCATTGATCCTTGAATTTCTCTTCATCTCTTGTTGTGACGATCATCATCATCTCTTCTTCTTCATACTTTGTGAACTTTGTATCCCTCTCTTGATTTTTTCACTTTTCTGTATAATCAATAGAATAATAACCATACTTATGACAATTGCAACACTAAATGTGACTCTTGTCAGGTTTTCTACCACCACCTCTTCCTCGACCTCTAGCACCATCTCTTTGGTTTCTTTGGTATGAAGGTCTTCTCTGATTCGACACAATTTCTTCTTGCTAGTTTCCTCTACCAATCGAATTGTTGTAGCTACCTCTACCTTTGTAGAACCACTTTCCTTTTCCCTTGCTTTCTTTTGCTGAATATGGCTGCAAAGCCACATCACTCTTCGACTTGCCTTCAACCCTTTCGGCCGTTCTTTTTTCATGAGATTCAAGCGTCCCTTGAAGCTTTTCCTTTAAAAAATTTGACATGTCCTTCGACTCTTCTATGACAACTACCACATGATCGAACTTCAAAGTCAAAGATCTCAAGATCTTTGAAACAACAGACCTTGTTGTTAACGTCTCTCACCAAATATTGATTTAATTCACTAGTTTCTTAACCATAGTGAAGAAATCAGATATGCTCTCGTTATCTTCTATCTGAAGCAATTCATATGTTCTTTGGTGAGTTTGTAAGCTCACCTGTTTCACCTACTCAGCGCCTCCAAACGATTTCTTCAGAACTTCCCAAGTTTCTTTTACAAATTCTATATCACTAACCTTTTCGAAATTGTCTGGACTCAGATATTGATGAATTATAATGAAAGCTTCTTCTTTAATTCTTTGTATTCTGCCTCTTCTTCTTCTGAAGCGTCTTCTTCAAGCTGTTCTAATTCATGTTTCACAAGATCCCAAAGATCTTTACAACAAAACACAACCTTCATCTTCTTGCACCAATTCTCATAGTTATTAGCTTTAAGAATTGGAAGACTTGCTGGAAAATGTTTGTTCGGATGATTCATTGTCATCGTTCTTGCTTGCCTTTTATCGCTCAACCGGAGCTCCTGATACCAGATGTTGGAAATCTACCAAAACCTATGGAGAATTTCTATCAATCTTGATGAACAAGATTGTTATCAATATACAATAACAATGAAAAGAAAAGAAAATTTAAGAAGAAAAGAGATTTGGGTTTCTGCAGAGTTTCTCTCTACCCACAAAGTGTGAAAAAACTTTATTCACTTGCAATTGCAAATTCTGTAAATACGCAATCTGAGTTAGTTACAAAAATAGGGAGTTACTCTCTCTATTTATAGTTTTATGTTAGCTTTCTTCCTAAGTCAAAAAGCCCAAAAAATACATATTTTGGATCTAAATCAAATATGTGTGTAGCAACCTACTTACAATATTTCGACAATCATATACAATTCGACATATTAAGTTTTTCGACACACTTTGTGTCGAACAACAATATACTTTGACACAAGAAATTACACTTTTAACCGATGTCACGAATTTTATATTAGTTAGATGAAATGTGAAATGAGAATTTCACATTAGATTAATGTGCAGATTCTATATCGTAAAGCCTAAAATTGGGCTACAGCTGAAGACAATGATTTTTTTTTAATGTCTTCCCGGATGAAGCTGGCCTTGTTAAAGCGCCAAATTTGTTCGATGTCGATATGCACGCTGTGAAACATATGAGAATGATGTTCAATTTCTCACTTGTTCCTTCAACTATGAGAATGATATTCAATTTCTCACTTGTTCTAATCCCATCATAGTTTAATTAGGAATTTTGACCAATGCATTGAAAGAAGGCTACATTGAAAACCTACTCAAAATTTAAAGCTTTTATTCAACAATTTACAATAGAAAGCAAACCACAAACACACCATACCATCCCTAGCATAATGCATTCTGATCATATACATTGCCAACAAATCTGCACCATTTCCTCACAACTATCTGAACACAATCAATCATATACTGAAATTTACATGACATTAACATATTTTCATAGTTTTTTTTTTCAAATATAAAAGAAATAAGTCGCTTAATCTATATCACAACAAAGATTTATTTGAACTATTAACATCTTAATCACATTGCAAACAAAGGGCCTCTCAGTTCTTAAGAAGTGTCTCATCAGTCTTGTCCTCCCATTTGTTCAACCTCTTTCTTGATTCTTCAACCTGCAAAAAAAACATAGTTTGACTCATGTATTTCACCTAATGTCAACAAATGAATTCGTAAATTCATTGCTATAATATGTTTAAGTAATTAACACCTCTTTACTCCAATCTGTTCGAAATGTTGTCCACACTAAAATAACTGTTTGCAAAACTGTCCCAGCTAACATTCCCAACCATATTCCCTACACACAAAAACAAACTTCAATCATCAATAATATGAAACAAAAATAACATTACAACATTTTTTACTTTAGGCAACGGTACTAAAACCACTAAAATTGCAGTCTAAACTTTAGGTAACGGTATTCCAACCGTTGTTGCCTGTTCTTTTAGAGTGGTATTATATCTCAAACTACATATTCTAAACACGTTGCCTTAAACATGAATAGACCGCAATTAAAAATTCTTTGGTTAAGAATTGATACCTTGGCACCGAATTTGAAATAGAAACCAAGAACATAACCCAAAGGTATGCCAATTCCATAATAACAACCAACATTTACATACGCAACAAAACTTTGCCATCCACATCCAACAGCCACGCCTGATAAGACAGGTTGAACGCCATTGAGGACAATGGAGAGAGCAAGGAGTGGACAAAGATCCGAGACAGCAGCAGCAACCTCTTCTCCGCCAGTGAAGACATAGCTAACGACATCTCTTAGAGCAAGAACCACAAGCGCTATTATAACTGATAATATAAAAGAAATCACTGTCACCACCACAACAGAAAACGACGCTGATTTTGGATTTCCTGCTCCTAATTCATTGCTCACTCTCACACTGCATGATTGTCAAAACAACAAAAGGCTTTCAATATTAGACAAATCGATGAAAAATGAAATATTGCATTCAAAGTTTTTTATTCCTACATTATACAACGAATATTGTGGATATTCCAACTTCAAATAGAAAATAGAAACCAATAAATATACAAGATAGAAAATCAAACCTTGCTGCTGCGTTGAATCCAACTGAAATCATGAACGTCCATCCAGATACTGTGGTACTGCAATATATAAAGAATATACATTTTTTATTATTTTAACAAATAAAACATGTCTGTATAACAAAATTATGAAATTTTATTTTTATATGTAGATAGAAGTGAATTTATCTTTATTAAACAATTCTTATATATGTATAATAAAATTAATTTTATTTTTATTACATCAATTAAATGAAATAACAATAGTAACTTTTTAAGTATTATTTAGAAATTTTCATTACAATATTAATATATATATATATATATATATATATATATATATATATATATATACTATTAAATTCAGTTTTAATCAAAAGGTTTGAAGTGTCGTAGTGACAGAGTGATATTTAATGACATACTTATATAAGTCCTAGTTTCGATTCTTTTCTTTTGCTGATTTTAATTTTGTTTTATCGAAAATCTACTTTTAATACATATTAAAAACATTTAATATCATGAGTTTTGAAATGGCGTAGTGGTTAAGAGGCCTCATTTAATTGACTAGGCGTAGTTTCGATTCTTTAACCTATAGTTTTAATTTCATTTTGCAAAGAATTGATTTTAGGACGTGGCTTAAAAATCCTAAGTTCGATGTACTGGCCGTGTAAAATTTACAATGAGTATGTAATTTGATTATGCTTTTTAAATTTTTGATATGACATAATTAAAATGCATCATCATTTAACTCTATAGTTTTAATTTCATTTTGCAAAAAATAGATTTCAAGATTATCATTAAAAACTGTCTCCAATTGAGTCGTTAAATTTCGGTCAATGAATTCGTCACTAAACGTTAGTGACCAGCACTTTTCTGACCGAAATAAGATAGTCGCTAAATCGGCTTATAGTTTTAATTTCATTTTGCAAAGAATTGATTTCAGGATGTGGCTTAAAGATCATAAGTTCGATGCACTGACCGTGTAAATTTTACACTGAGTATGTAATTTGGCTATAGTTTTTAAATTTCTGATGTGACATGATTAAACAATATATTCCTATTAGTTGACACTGTAAAATGCATCATCACTTAACTCTATAGTTTTAATTTCATTTTGCAAAAAATAGATTTCAACATTCCCATTAAAATCTGTCTCCAATTGAGTCGTTAAATTTCGGTCACTGAATTTGTCACTAAACGTTAGCGACCAACACTTTTCCGACCGAAATAAGATAGTCGCTAAATCAGTCGTTAAATGTTATAGTGGCTGATTTTTAGACTTTTTCGATCTCTAATTCGGTCACTAAAAATGAATTTTTTAACAGTGATTTATTCGGTATGAGTTAATTATTTTTCCAGTCATTTTAGAGAACCCCTTTCAATTCAGCCTCGGCTAGATGGGGTTGCCTTACATTCTCTCTCAGAGGAGAACAATCTTAGCCTTAATGCTCTCTTCCTTCTCATTGAGATTGATTGAGATATTACATAGTGTGATGGAAATAAGAACCCCAGATTAGACGATTATAACTTCTTCTTTTTCAGGAGTTTCTGGTCTTTTCTTAGGGAAGAGGAAGGTGTATTGTTTGATCAATTTCATTAGTTTTCTTCACTTTCCTATAGTTTTTCTTCTTCCTTTTTTGTTACCTTGATTTAAAGCTTTGACTCCCATTCTCAATTAGGTGGCTTTCGACATTATCTTTTTGGTAGGATCACTTTACAAGCTTCCTAGTTAGAGTATTGGTGGCTAGGCTTGTTGTTGTCATGGATAAGTTGGTTTCTCCTAACCACCCAGACTTCCTTAAAAGAATGTTATTATTTTATATATTGGTTGGTGGATATGGCTAAAGAGCAAAAAAACATGTCTCATTTTTAAAGTGGTTTTGAGAAAGCTTGTGATTCATTAGTTGAACCATCCTAGATTACATGCTTTCTAGATTAATTTGGGTTAAATCTAAAGGGAGGGGTTGGATTTATGCTTGTGTATTTTTTGGTAATCTTACAAACGTGGTTAATTATTTTTCGATCCAAGACATTTGTATCCAAAATAGGCTTAAGCAAGTTAATCCCATAAATCATTTCTCTTTCCTTCTTGTGATAGAAAGTCCAAGTGGGTTGTTCTCTAGGTTTGTAGACCTAGGTCTTTTCTCAGGATTTAGAGTGGATTCTTCAAATTTTGTGGTCTTTCATCTTCTGTATACATATGAATTGGACATTCTAGCAAATGCCTCCATTGAGAAATATTTGATCCATAAAGTCTATTCTCTGAGAGTTTGAATCAACTTCGGGCCTCTAGACAAATTTTGCTAAGAGTACCATCATATGGGTTAATGTTGACCCTATTTTTTTTACATAGCTAGTGACTTCCTCCATTGAATCAAAAGTATCTCTCGTTCAAGTACATTAGTCTTATGATGGGGTCGCCCCTAGGTTGGAATCAACATGTGAACCTATAATCATATCTCTTGGCGACTTCTTTTGTGGCGACATAGGTATGTTTCCATGGGAGGGATGATGATCCTCCTAAACATTGTTCTTAATGCCATTCATATTTTCTTTTGGTATTTCCATAAGATGTTTGTTAAGGTATGGAAGAAGATAACTAAAATTAATAGGAGGTTTCTTTGGGGAGGAGTGAAATGTGATTATAAGATTTCTTGAGTGAGATCGTTTGATGTGTGTAACTCTAAGAATTTTGAAGGTCTCGTCGTTCTCTATTTCTAATTGGTTAGCTTATCCCTTTTGGGGAAAGTGGACGTGGTTGGTTACCTCATGTGCTTCATGTCTATGTCGTGATGTTATATCTGATATAGATATAAAAACATTTATGCTTCATCTTTCATGGTGGCAGAGCTGCTAGTCTTCAGTGCGTGTGTCTTGTTGTTGGAGAAAACTATACCTCCTTGGATCCATAGTTAAGGATCCCTCATATTGGTTTATGACTAGTATCCACAATAAACTTGGTTCTAGTCTTCTCACTTCTTTTTGGAAATACCATTGGGTTAAAACCACTCCACTTAGTGTTAGGTTCACAAGGTTTTCTCTATTTTCAATTGGGTTGATTAGTTTGTGGGGGAGGTTAGGGTGTAGGAGGATGACGTATGCGTATGGAATTTTAAGTGGATAAGAACCTTTTTTTATCATGACCTGAATTTAATTGTTAATCTCCTTTTGGTCATTCAAAATTTTATCCCTTCCCCGAAAAGTGATATGTGGTGGTGGTATCATGCAAATGATGGCTAATATATTGTAGCCTCTGCTTAATCAGTTCTCCTTGTTCGTGAATTTCCAAGTGATCGTACAATAGCTTTTGTGTATTTGATTCTCCTTTGTGTTTGAAGTAGTTAGTCGCATCAAAAGTTATTGTGTTCTTCCAAACTTATTTAAGATATCATTCGAACAAGAGAAAACTTTCTTAAAGGGGATGGGGTTCTCTAGTTTCAGAGTACCTCTTGTCTCTTCTGCTTGAGATCCCTCAAATCTCCTATCATCTTTTCGTAACCTGTGAGGTAGCCGAAAAAGTTTGGTATATGGTCTTTTGTTGGTTGGGATAATGTGTTATTTATCTAGAGATTTTGAGTACCTTTTTCAGATGGTTTATCCCCTAGGAGGTGTGCCTAGGATTAGGGGGAATCTATATAATATGGCACACAATTGTTTAGTCCTTTTAAAAACCTCAATGATATTGTGTTTTTGAGAAAGTATGTGACTATAAAGAATATGAAAGATTTGAGCATTCTCTTAACTTAAAAATGATATCTTTGTAGGTACGTGGATAACTCATGTTCTTTTTCTACTTAATTTGAGAATTATTTGTATGAGCCGATAACGATTTCAATGTATCCAATCAGTGTGATGAAGTGTTCTTATTGCGACTGATGTTATGGTTTGCTAGTCCTGGTTTAGAGATTTCTAACTTTTAATCCGCATTTTAGCGTGACTTTAGTTCTTTCTTGCATTTGCTTATTTCTACTGTTAGAGGATGTTATTTATTTTAGGTTTTGTTGTGTTATTTTTAGGCTATGTTAGATACATCTTGTGTTTTTCTTGGTTTTTGGTTCTTTTGTGCATTATTTTTACATATTTAGTGCTCTTTATTTTAATATAGAATTTATTTACCTTTAAAAATTAATAAAACTATTAAATTTTGTAACGTTTTGAATGTTGTCATATTTACTTTTATCGAAAAATGTGAGATATCTAATATAACTTAATATTGTGATAAATATTTTGAATGAGGTAAAATACTTTTTTGAACGATAAATATATCTTATAATTTGCAATATATTTTATAATTAAGACAACAAAGATCTCTAAAAATTGTTTGTCTTATTTTATAAATTATTTTTAAATGAAGAAAATTTATATACAATTTTTTAAGTGTAGTTTATACTTTATATTATTTTTTGATAAAAACATGATAAGTGTATAACTTTTCTTACTCATATTGTCATTTTTAAAATGATATTTAAATATATTTATTATATTTCAATAAAAATAGTTTAAATCACATGTGGCTAAAGGTGGCATTGATACTGTTTAAATCACATGTGGTTAAATCACTTGAAACCATAGCTGGCATTGATACTGTTGATAAAGCAACAATTGAAGCATCAAAGTATATCCCAAAAGGTGGCTATGCTCAATTTCTTAAGAAAGATGGACTACGAGGGAAGAGATTAGGAGTAGTGAGACTATTCTACAATTTCGGAAATGACACTTTTATGCATGAAACTTTCAAGTTACGCCTAAAAACATTAAGGTGATTAACTTCTAAAACTATTAGTCTTAAAGTACTAATACTGCTCATGAAACTGTAATAACTCTTATATGCATATATATTTAAAACCTGTGCAACACGCGGGTAGATAACTCTTGGTTGCAAGTTATTTTGAATTTGAATTCGTTGTCTATTATTTTCTTTGGCCACAATCCTTCTGAAGAAATCATGTGCTTTGAATCTTTGTGTTCATAATTAATAGGAAGAGTAGGTATATCAAACACAAGTTGAACTGTCCATGCATCAGACCTATTTAACTATGTTAGAATTTGAAGATTGATAACATTGATGACATTATCAGGCAAAGAGGTGCAGTTTTGGTCGACAATTTGAAGATTGATGACATTGATGACATTATCGTTGCTCAAAGTGAAATTATCGCTTTGAATTTTGAATTCAAATTGTCTTTGAATGCATACCTGAAAGACTTAATTGCTTCACCAGTGAAAAGCTTGGCAGGTGTGATACACTTCAACAAGAAACAGTCAAAATTGGTGAGTATGTATGTGGTTTTGTTTATTTTTCTTGTGGACAATTGGATATTAATCAATATTTATAACAGTATCATCTTATGGTTTTTGTATCAACATTTAACATAAGCTACAAAGCTACAAAGCTTGTTAAGTGTTAATGTTGTTATTTTCGATCTGTATTAATGCATAAATTGTGACTAATTTTGTTTGTTCAGTTCACTTTTGGGCACCTACGTTTAAGTGGGGCATCAGCATTGCCAATATTGCTGATTTTTCAAAACCACCTGACATGATCTCTTATCCTCAACAAATAGGTATGTGCATGCATATATATAACTATATGTAGTGTCATCTTTTGCGAACTTCTAATACGCCCTTTTGCTCATCATTCACCCTTGTGAAAATGTGTATTTCTGAATTCTCTGAAAGGAGCAGACATATGCAAGTGAATGAATTTTGTGGAATGCTGAGTATTCAAATTGCAGGCAGTTTTTAGCAAATATTCTGCTGATTCCTTTTATTTTTAACACAGCTGTTATGGCTACTGGACTAATCTGGGCGAATTACAGCACTGTAATCACTCCAGTAAGTTACATTTTTTTTCAAACACAGTTTGCTTTTAACTAGTACATGAAATGTTGAAAGCTTAATGAATGAGGATTATTTGTGGACCTTCAGTGCAAGCAAAATTTTATAGTTTCACTTCACTATCTTCATAATTTTGGTTTATAGTTTCACTTCATTATCTACATTATTTTGGTTTATAGTTACATTATCTCTCTTAAAAGAGTATGACACTCTCAACTTGTAAGATTCTGTAACATGAATTAGACTGTAACATCCTTCGCGTGATGTTTTAGTTTATAATGGCTGGAGAAAATAGGAGTAGGAACATTGACAACAACTATGCCTATATTTGGTATTAGTCTAAAACCACGGTTGCGCGGTACGATTTGACAGAAGCTAACATGTATTGCTTCAAGGACATATTTATAAAGGCTTGGTTGCGCTAATTTTGAAACATGAATGTGATTCAAACAACATTTAGAGCAAAGTTCAAACAAGCATTGATTTCAAACATGCATGTGATTCAAACAACATTTTGAAGCTAAATTAAAACATACCTTGCAAGATGAAAAGAAAAGATGATGATTCAAACTGGAGGTTCCGATTCCAATATCGGGTTTTCGATCACCAAAGTATTCTTTAAGAGCTTTATTCTTCACAACCAAGCCAGAAGAAGTAAGACAACCAGTGAAGTAGCCACCAATAGCATGCAACTCAGTCCCTATAACATCACCGACACTCAAATATTCCTTCAAAAAACCCTCAACCATAACTCTAGGAACATTTGTGATAACAACTTTAGAACCAGTTCCAGCAAAAATCTCACAAACATGAACATTAAGATTCTCTAAATAAAACTTAGGTAAAACAGCCCTTGAAACATTCTCCATGTCCTTGATTTTCAAACCACAAAAGGTTATGAAAGTCATAACCTTTATCTTCATCTCATGATCACAAACCATGAGAAAAGGACAAGACATAAGCAAGAGAAAAGCTCTGAAAATGCTGCCACCTTCAAAAGCAACAAGCATGAAAAAAGGAAAAAAGGCTTGAGTTTTCAAGATGACTCCATGAATGTCACAAACTATTGTTTGTGACATTCTATTTCTACCTTGTACATCACATTTTGCTATACTAGAAAACAACACTTTTCCTATGAAGAAAACAAAAAAAAAAGAAAAGAAAAAAAAAACTCTCTTCCTCTTTGTTAAGCAAAGCATGACCCATATTTCTCTTCTTCTCAAATCACATATCATAATCAACAACATCAAAATTAATTCCAGGAAACAAGAAGCGATTTTTACCTGAGGCAAGATCTTAGTGGGTGGCAGCGAATGAATGGTCTCCAGCAAGTAAAGGGCGACGAGTGAAGGAGATGTCCGTGGAGCAGTGGTCGCGGTGGGTTTGAGTTCTAAAGCGGAAGGATCTAAAGCGGAGGTTCGGGTCGGAGACCGTGGCGGTTGTCCAGCACGCAAAGAGGTTGTCGGCGGAAGGAGGAGTTCGAACAGCGGCAAACGGAAGGATTGGCGGAGGAATCTTGTCGCATAAGAGAAATATTATAAAAAAATGTTGTTGTCTTTGATTATTGATGGATTTAGTGTTGTTAATGGTGCTGGAAAGTATATGTGAGTGAATGTGATATGCGGGAGAAGAAGAGCTTGTACTGTGCGTTTGAAGAAGAGAAAAGAATGAAATGTTATTTTGATGTTTTAATTTATTAAATTAAAAATAATATAAGCTATAACAGCGCTTTTGAAAGCGCTTTCATAGGGGGGCTTTTACCAGCGCTTTTTAGGGTAAAAGCGCTTTCATAGGTCCAGCTATGCCAGCGCTTTTGAAAGCGCTTTCAAAGGCCATTCTTCCACAGCGCTTTTTAAAAAGCGCCTTCATAACCCTATTATTTCATTTTTATTAATATTTTTATTTGACCTACCACAGCGCTTTTTAAAAAGCGCTTTCGTATCCCCCACCTATGCCAGCGCTTTTAAAAAAGCGCCTTCATAACCCTATTATTTCATTTTTATTAATATTTTTATTTGACCTACCACAGCGCTTTTTAAAAAGCGCTTTCGTATCCCCCACCTATGCCAGCGCTTTTAAAAAAGCGCCTTCATAACCCTATTATTTCATTTTATTAATATTTTTATTTGACCTACCACAGCGCTTTTTAAAAAGCGCTTTCGTATCCCCCACCTATGCCAGCGCTTTTAAAAAAGCGCCTTCGTAGGTTTCCCTTTTTTTTAATTTTGTTTTTTGTGAAGGCTATGGCAGCGCTTTTTCAATAAGCGCTTTAGTAGAGGCGCTGCAAAAAGCAGTTTTTGGCGTAGTGACACTTAAAAAATTGTATCTAAGTTATTTTTTTTATAGGCGTGACACGTGACTTGACACACATTCATCTTTAAGGTCATTAATATTTTGAAAAAACATTCAATTTTTTTTTTTGATTTAGTTTGAATTCGAACTCAGACCATCTAACTTAAAAGTAATAGCAAATTATCACTACATCACTTCATAATTAATGTTTATTATTTCAAATCAGTTTTAGTAATCATATAATATAACTTAATCTCAATTAAAGTCTCATCCTCTTTTGTCTTTCCATTTTTGCTGATTATGGATATGTAGCTTTACATTTAAAGTTTAAGGACCAAAAGTTAAAATTTAATTTTTTCATACGATCATTCTTTAAATGAAAATTTTAGAAAAACTAAAAATGAAATTTGTAATATTTAGAGGGATCAAAAATTTATTTAATTCAAATAATTATTAACCTTTTATTTATTTCGTGTTATTGAAATCGAAATAAAAAATACAGTGAATAAGGTAAAATAGAAAATTAAAATTTTAATTAAATCTATATCTTATTAATATTAACATTTAGTTTATTTTTTAAATTATTATACAATATGTAATATGTTAAAAAATAATCAATTTATATATCAAAGGATTTTAATTCATTTTAAAATAGACCAATCGGACCAATAATTCAGCTATAGAATGTCTTTGACTAGATTGGTCCCCTATCCACTTTTAAAAACATCGAATCTAATCATTTATATAGAAAATTGGTCCCCTACTCACTGTTTTTATTTATTTCACACCTCTAACATACTAATTCACGAGTATTAAGAAAATTGGTGCACTACTAAATTTGTTAAAAATTATATTACCCATACATATTTATTCTTATATATTTCATATCATAAAAAAATATAATTTACATTTTCTAATTAAACTTTAAATATGATTAATTTTGTAAAAAATAATTAATACATGTAGAGTTTTGCAAAATATCTCATATTAAAATATTTAAACGATAATAAAAATATTTTTAAAATAAAAGAATAAGTCTTAGAACTAGAGTTTGACCTAATTTATCATTACAAAAAATATTTATAAGATAGAAGGGATAAGTGTATATATTAACAATTCGATAAACTTTTAGTATTATATTAAAATTATAGTTAATATCATATTAAAATTAAAATTTATTTAATATATTATTATAAAATTCATTTATAAGACGAAAAAATTCACTCTATATTAATTTCTTTTATAAATTTTATCTTTAACTAAATATGAGATAATTTCATTTTAAATATCTTTATATGCGATCACACGTGAACCCACATTTACTTAATTTCACTAAATATTTTATATGCGATCGCACATGAACCCACATTTATTATTATTATTATTATTATTATTATTATTATTATTATTATTATTATTATTATTATTATTATTATTATTATTATTATTATTATTATTATTATTATTATTATTATTATTTATATTATTTATAATATTATTATAAACTTCATAGTTAAAGTTACAAGATCATAAGCTTAGTACATTATAAAAGAAAAGAAAGATGATATATATCTTTTTAGAGAGAAAATAACAAAATAGACACACAGAATGTTTTGTTATTCTCAAAAGTTTGTATTCTATTTCTTGTCTTCGCACTTCACTGATTGATGGAATTTATTCGTTTCTTAACAATGATAGTAACTACATACTTTTTCTCCTCCATAAATTCAAAAGTCATATTAATATTCTATCTTATTAATATATCAAATCTACATAAATTATGGAGTACTATTTCTTTCTTATTGGTTACAGTCGACTTTAATCATTTATGACTGCCAAAGAAACTATATTAAATAATAAGTGCGATGCTTATCTTTTAAAAAGGATAACATTATTTATCTATGGTCCTGTTATTTCATGAATCAAGTTTTTTAGTTTTTTTTTTTTAAATCTTTCAATCAATTTTGGAAATTTAGGATGAATATAGGCAGAATGAAATTGAACTTACCAAATAGAAAGAGAATCAAGAGCCAATTCAGGATGAGGAAGTAATCCAGCAAGCAAAACCAATATTTGATAGTACCAAGTCTCTAAACACAACATTACTGCTGATGCAGCTGATAATTTGAAAAACTCTGCTAATCCTGAAAACGCTTGAAAACTAAACCCTTTCCATGTATGTCTACACTTTTCACTCTTCACAATATAAACAAATTGTGCTATCACAATTATCCACCAAGAGAAACTCAAAACCAATGATGCACCCAATAAGCCAAGTCTAATTTTGTACACAACAAAATAACTTAATATAACATGAATAAACAATGTTGCTGTTGATATGTATGCACTTGGTGCAACTATGCTTTGTGCTTGGAGAAATTTTTGTATTGGAAAGTTTATAGCATAGGCGAATATTTGTGGGATTAGACCATAGACAAAAAGTGATGCTGCTGATGCAATTTGTGGTGATTCTCCTAGAAATATCAAAAGTGGTTTGGAGAATATGTAGATTAATGTCAATACCAATCCAGCTAATGTGAGAAGAACTGTTGATCTTTGCAAATATATGCCTAACATGTCATACTTTTTTGCACCAAATGCTTGTCCACATAGTGTCTCAACTGCACTCCCCATGCCTAACTGTTTATAAAAACATATCAATTATAAAATTATAAAATTAATATCCAAAATGAGAAAAAATGAAATTAAAGATAAAATTCATAATTTATCTCTGCTAAACTTTAATTGTTAATTTTTATTTAAAATATAGTTTTAATTAAAAATATGATGAACATGCAACCAAAGTTATCATGCTTAAGTAAAAATATACAAATTCAATATTACTAAAATCATAATAATACCATGAGGCCATAAGCAAAGACTTGTATCCCATTATTTCCAAGTGAAGCAGCAGCAAGCTCTAAATTACCAAGATGACCAGAATATATTTGAGTAGACATTGACGTAACATTGTTTACAAGGTAAACAATAACAGCAGGGGCAGCAAGGTAAAAAAGCATCTTAAACTCAACCCATGTAGCAAGTCTAACACGTTTAACAAAAGGAACACTTGTATCCGACAGAATTCTTTCGAGTTCACCATCTGATTCATGTTTTGAACCAAATGAATGAGTGAAAGGTGATGCTAGTTGTGGTGGTGTTGGTTCATTAGGTGCTAGCAAGGGTTCATCAATATCTTTGTGGACATGATCAGAAGTAGTACCCATGTTGGTGAATATTTTGGTTTGAGGATTAGCCACAAACGCAAATGATCTATGTATGATGAAAGTGTGATATATGTGGTGGTTATTATAGTAGGGTTTGGATTTTTTTTTGTTGGAAATTTAACTTATTATGTGGAAAGTTGATTTTAATAGAGACATGAGAATAAATTTTTAAGAATGATGTATATATGTATGTTAAAGAATAATTAGGTTAAACACGCATTTGAATATTTGATCAAGGAAATATTTAGACCTTACTATTAATTAGTAATAGTCTTTTAGGTATGATAATAGAAAAGTGAGTAGAGGAAAAAAATACTATGAAGAGAGAAGTATTTTAAAAATAGTATATAAAATGTAAATTGAAAAGTAAATAAGATTTGAAGTAGGAAAAAACTTAGGTGTATTTAGTGGTTTATGCTTTTTTAATGAAAATATGACAAGTGTATAATTTTTTCTTACATGTAATTGTTTCTTATTTTTACTCTTTAAAAGATATTTAGGTATATTTGTTATATTTTTATCGGAAAAAGTATGAATCATTCATATAAAATTGTATCTAAGTATTCTCCTTTAAAATATCACCTAAGAAAAAAATGGAAATAAAAAAGGAGAAAAATATATATTTATTTAAAAATATGAATTTCCTCCTATAAAAAATTTATGAAAATAAATCTATACAAAATTAAAAAATAAAAAATTTAGAATTTAGTTATCAAAAATAAGTCTAGTATTATTTTCAGGAATGACACAAGTTTATTTTAAAAAATTAGATAATAAAATTAAATTTGTTCACATTATCATAAACTATAAAAAGGAATAATTTTAATAATTATTATTCTAATTTAAATAGTTATATAACTATTAATACAAAATAAATATAAAAAATATAAATTATAAAAATATATACTATAATAACAAAAAAAAAGGTATTATTAAGATAAAATAAGTACAAAATATACAAAATTAAAATATATTAACCAACATCTAAACCTATATAATAACAAAAATAGATTAAATATTCAAATGACTTACAAATTAATATAATATCATTAATATTTTTGATCCTAACACAAAAATGCGTAAAAATTAGAATCAAGAATAAACCTTAGCTCCTATTAAACCAGAGTTCTTCAATCATATTTTTAACACGCAAGAAAACCTAAAATAACATTTTTTATAGCATTAACATAAAACAATCGTATGCTAATAGAAACAACAAAACCATTAGATCTTCTATTAGTACAACTATATTCAACTTCTAATTCTAAATCAAAATACTTCAAAAGTTTATATTTTTCAGCACATTCTATGTTCAACTCCTATTAAATCATAGTTATTCAAACACATTTTCAGTATGGAAGATTTTTAATGTTACTGACAACTCTTAAACAGAAGAAAACTATAAAATATTAATTTTATAATTTATACATTAAAATTCATATAAAGATAAACTATACAAGTCTCATACCTCATTAAAGAAAATATACAATATTGTTGTTCATATATAAAGTTAAAATCATCAAACTATTTTCTACAACACAACCCATTTCAACAGAGTAAAAGATCGGAAGAAAATGAATAAAAATATATGACGTAACAAAACTAAAAGTTTTACCACATAAAAACCATCTTTCAATAAAATTCTCAAATATATCTTTAATACTTGCACCTAAGAGTGACAAACGGGCATGCGCCCCGAGTTTAGGTATATCCTGTAAAATTCCACATATAACAGAGTATGGCGGAGTTGACATACATAAGGGGCATGTCTAAAATTCTGTCCCACACTAAAAGTGAGGGCATGCAAACGGACCCACGGGCACTGTATTTTTTAAATCATGAAATATAAAAAATTTATGTAAATACCCGTACATGCAAAAGTCCACAAAAAATGTGACGGCGCAATGCGGGAACATTAGAGGGAGCAGACTAAAACCTTAGTTCTGCTCCGCACAAAAATGAAGGTAAAACAGTCATACCTAATAGATCGAACCTGTTTTTCCACCTCTACTTACACATAATAGTTTAGAAAATAAAAGATTATAATCGATCTTTTAATAAAATTATCGAATATATATTCAAAACTTGCACATAATATTTAGAAAACGAAATATTATGAAAATGAAAAAGAAAACCTAATAAGAAATGGAAGATTATGAAAATGAAAAAAAGAAGAAGAGAGAAATAGAATTTTAGTGAGACAAAATAAAATTTAAATTAATAAAAATTGATGAGTAAGTCTATTCCTTCTACATAGCATTATAATATCAACATAAATGAAACCATAAATAGAAATCAAATAGTAACTGACTTTATTAAATATTGAAATTTTAGAGAAATTATCAATAAGTGAAATATTTTTTTTATAGAAAAAGATAATTATCAAATTATTCAGTCATACATAACCTTAAAAAATATTTATCCTAATGTATTATTTATTTTATAATAAATTTATTTAATTAAATATTTAGTTTAAAATAATTTCTTAAATTTGTTAATCATTTTATTTAGAGTGGTTCAAGAAGTTATAAACATAATTTATAGTTAAAACATATTAATGGTAAATTAATTATTAATATTTATTTATAGTTACAAAAATAAAAATAAAAAACATCTCCCCGTTCTACATTCCAAGTTTTAAAAAATATAATAAACATTATAATTTTATAATTAAAAAACTCAACAAAAAATGTAAATATTTTTATGAGTTTTTATTTTATTAATTTATAAATTTATAATTTTTTCTTTTTGCTTAAGAATCGAACACGATATTTTCTGAATTGCGTCCTTAGCAGGAGCTCCCTTTTCACTTGAGCCTAAATACTTGATTAATTTTTCAAAAAATGTAAGGTAATAGAAATAAAATATTTAAGAATTAAATTACCAAAAATAGATAATTTTATATGACTATATAAGGCAGGAAGTAATGGAATAAGTCATGAAAATGATTTACATTTATAATATATCAATGATAAAGAATTATTAAAATTAATTTATAGTTATGTAAGAATTAAATTTAGAAAATGAGTAGTTTAATAAACCGTCAACTCAATAACCTTTTAAAGGAGAAATTAATGAAATAAGTTATAAAAATAATTTACAATTAAAAAATATTAATGGTAAAGGAATTGTTAAAATTAATTTGTAGTTATAACTTTTATAATATTTATATAATTAAAAACTAAAAATTCCTAAAAAAATAGAAAATATCCCCTTATTGTACATTTCAAGTTTAAAAAACTATAAAAGGAATCATTATTCTATTCTAAATGAAAAAAATTGTTTTACAATAAAGTTAAAAAAATTATTTTATATTATTAAAGCAGAGTCCTGATTGTAGAGAATGTCAATAGAGTCGTGGTAGAACTTTTTCACAATCCTTTCTCTATTGTAATGACCACCATATGGCCAATTATGACAATGTCATATTATACTTCTTGCTTCCTTCTTAGTAATACTTCTCTTCAATAGATTGTATGCTCCAACTTTGAACAAGTATGAATCATCTCAAACATATTGATTTCAATCACGAGGGAATTTCTTTTTCTGCCTCCAGTTAAGATCATCAGGTATCAAATCACTGGCTTTATGATTGGCTATGTCAGCTAACCACGATCTTTCATGCATTATGATTAACTTTTCATCAGGAAACTCCTCTAGAACTTCACGCTCTTGTTCGGTTATCTCATTGTTCACCAACCTAGATAAGTGATCTGCTACTAAGTTTTTTGTGCCCTTTTTGTCTCAAATTTCTAAAGCAAACTCTTGTAGAAGTAACATCCATCTGATTAGTCTAGGCTTGAAATGATACTTGGTGATCGAGTACTTTATGGCTGCATGGTTAGTATAAACAATAATCTTTGAACCAATGATGTAAGACCTAAATTTCTCTAATGCATACACTGTAACAAGAAATTATTTTTTTGTGGTAGCATATTTGACGTAGCCTCATTCTAGACTTTGCTCTCATAGTGTATGGAATGAAAAAAAATCTTCCTCTATCCCATAACTGCACCTACCGTATAATCACTCACGTCACACATACGTTCAAAATTAAGTGTCTAATCAGGCGCAATGATTATGGGTGCAGTTATCAATTTTTTATTTAAATCTTTAAAATAAAGAAAGCATGCATTATCAAAAGTAACTATCTTATCTTTGTTCAACAAGTTTCTTAATGGTTTGGCGATTCTGGAGAAATCTTTTATGAATCACATGTAGAAGCCGGTATGGCTAAGAAAGCTTCGAATTCCTTTGACATTCAATGGTGGTAGAAATTTTTCAATCACTTCAACCTTTTCTCTATCGACTGCAATGCATCTGGAAGAGATTTTTTGCCCGATTACTATGCCTTCGGTCACCATAAAGTTGCATTTATCCCAGTTGATAACTAGATTTGTTTCACGGTATCCAAGTTTTTCACACATAGATCAAATGAAGGTCCAAATACAGAGAAGTCGTCCATGAATATTTTAATGCATTTTTCAACCAGATCAGAAAATGTCACTTGTATACATCATTGAAACGTTTTTGGAGCAATACATAATCCAAAATGCATCTGTCTATAAGCAAAGACACCAAAAGGACCAGTAAATTTTGTCTTCTCACGATCTTCAGGATTGAAGGTGATTTTATTATATCCTGAATAACCATCCAGGAAACAATAAAACTCTTGACCATTCAATCTCTCCAACAGTAGAACCATAAACAACAATGGAAAGTGGTTTTTTTCTTGTGGTTTGATTAAGTCTCATGTAATCTATGTAAATTATCCATCCCGTAACGGTTCTTGTTGGTATCAATTCATTTTTTTCCATTTATGATCACGACCATACCTCTTTTCTTTGGAACTACCTAGATGAGACTCACCCAGGATCTGTCTGAGATATGATAGATCATTTTGGATTTAAGAAATTTCACCATATCTTTCCTAACAACCACTTTCATGGTAGGATTCAAGCAACGATGAGATTGAGCTACCAGTTTAAAATTCTCATCCA